AGTGTGAAACACTTGACTTCTAATAGCAAGTATACAGGAAGAAATCTTAACTGTAGCATAGAAGTCACATTTTCACAGATGCTCAAAATAGCAAAATATTATTCATTCACATCTCGGATTTTTTTTCTTTTTGGAATAAAAATAAGCAGATTTTGAATTTTGAGCACCATAATTTATAAGTTTTCTTTGATAATGCAAAAATGTTTATAAACAACTGATTCTAATTAAAATGAAACCTTAACTCAGGTACTAGAAATTATTTTTTTAGAATATTCTTATTTAACTCTGTCTGTCCCTGCCTCACTTATGTTCCCATCCCGAGCCCCATAACAATATCTAACCCCTCCATCCAAGCTCTACGTAAATGAGCCTGGGAATTTGAATTTACAATTAAAAGACTTAGATACAGATTGTTTTACATTAATAACTCCAACTCTATGATCCTAATAATGAGTAGACACAGAAAAGACAAAATGTGATCGCAGCAAAACAAGTATCTTAGGGGCCAGGTCTATGGTTCATGGAGAAATGTCACTTTTATAGCCCTTAAATATATAAGATCCCTCGTGGAGACACTTAAAAGTAACCTAGCTATTTTAGCCACACCAAGAAATCTGTTCACATTAAGTAATTATAGGGTAGGAACTTAAACGCAAGAAGATATGAAAGAATATAAAATATTATGTATGCATCCTGAACTTAATTTGGAATTCTTTGTGTTTCATAAAAAGTGGGAAGGTCGAAAAGAAAAAGGTGGAGGTGTAGGTGTTGAAAGAACTTCAACTTGGAAAAAGACATGAACTGCAATTATGTTCACCTGCCCTATTTAGAAAAACATCTTGAAGCCATTCTTCAGTGTTAAAAACAGAAGGTATTTGTTGACTACATTTTTTTTATCTTTCCATTAATTAGTTACAGTTCAGAACTTATTCATTAAACAGTTAGCATTTTTGACATACTAAAGAATTATGTACCTACCCGGAGACTGTTTAGAGGCAAAGATCCAAAAGAATAAAACTGCAGCTGTTCTTTGGATTCAGCAATTTTAATTAATTTTAAAATGACCTCCCTTCTCTACCTTTCACCTAGCCAATGAATCAGTGTAAAAATCTCCTATCAGACCAACTGAGAGAAATTCTCATTTTTCTGAGGTATGCTTAGATGTGAGAGATGTTCTTTCTTTCCAACTCTTACAATGCAAAAAATCATTCGAGATGACGAAAAAAGGACACATTTCAATGCTAAAAGCCACAATTCACGATGAGGATATACAGTTAGGAATATCTGTGCACCAAATAACCCAGCAGCAACCACTGAATAGCACAAACGACAGGAGATGCAAGGAGACACAGAAAACACATTAGTAATAAGACACGTGAACACCCGTATAGTGTGTTTTCTCACAAGTTGAAGATTTGTGGCAACACTGCATCGAGCAAATCTATCAGCATCATTTTTCCAAAAGCATTTGCTCGCTCTGTATCTCTGTATCACACTTTGGGAACTCTCATGATACTTCAAACTTTTCATTATTAGTATATGTTATAGTGACGCGATCAGTGATTATGATCCACTGAAAGTGTAGATGATGGTTAGCAGTTTTTTAGCAATAAAATATTTTTTAATGCAGGTATATAGTTTTTTTCTTAGACATAATGCTATTGCACACTTAATGAACTGCAGTATAGTGTAAACATAACTTTCATAGGCACTGGGAAAGCAAGAAATTCATTTGACTCACTTTATTGTGGTAGTTGCTTTTTTGTGGTGGTCTAAAATCAAACCTGTAATACTTCCCAAAGTTTATGCGTGCAGAAGACCCAGTCAACTTACTCAATAAGGCAGAAAACCTGAAGATACATATCAAACTTCACACCCTGATAATTTTTGCAACTTTTCATTAAGTTTGTAATTATTTCAAAACTCAACTACCAAAAAAATGAGAAGAGGAAGAAGAAAAACAGGAGGAGCGGGAAAGGAATGGTCAGTCACCAAAATGTTAGGAGTGACACTACTGAATTTCCCTTTTCCTCTCCCTTCTTAAAACATTGTTAAGGCATCTTGAGTGTTAAACAACCCTCCCACCCTTCTCTCAATCATCAAAGAAAGTACTTTAATTTAGAAAAGTCTGGAAACATGCATCCTCAATGGAAACCACAAGACTAAGAAGCCATAAAATGGGGCTGGAGTGAGGATCTACAAGTCAAGAGGCTGGCTGTTCGGGAAAGGCCTTTCTGGCAGGTTCTAGGCGAGGCTTCAGCTGCCTCCAGGGTGGACCTGCCCACGGTGTGAACACAAGGGCAGCCTGTCCACGGCCCCACGCTCCCTCTCCTGCAGAAGGTCAGCACGAGTCCACACGTCCAGTCCACAGTGTCCTCAGGCTGCCTCTCCAATAAAACCAGGTCGGCAGAAGGCTGTACACCAGGACAGAGTTCTCAAAGCTCGTTTCTGCATCTGTCATGTCATCCCTGAACCAAACCACAGACTCCTGTAAGACAGTGTCTGCCCGGCCCCACGGCACCCAGGCTGCCCGCCAGCCCCGACAGCCCCTGCCACAGAGGCACCTCACACACGCACTTCCACTCTCAGAGATCACTTCCGGGTCAAAACTTTTTTTTTAAACAAAAATCGTCTAACTGCCCTTTAGCTGAATTAATCTATGTTAGAGGCCCATGGAAAAAAGGAAAGAAAAATTGCTAGGGAAGGGAGAGGTGTATGTATCATTGGACTCATTAAACAAAGAGATGAAAAGTCTCTGAATCCTAAGACTTTTTGAAGAAGATAAACAAAAAAGCACACAAGGAAACAAAATGTGACAGCTGTATGATGAGGCTGGTCCAATACCCAGGGGCCCTGTGTTCATTTTTACTATGTCACTGTGCAAAACCAGCTACCATTTAATTTTAAAGGGAAAAGAAAATGCATTTTGTCCGTCTCATTGAGCAAATGATTTCAGCTTAACAGACCCAACCTGGAGGCACTGCTCCCGAGGGCTTTCTCCAGCCTTCTTTGTAGAAAATAAGTTACCAAGGTGAGGCCGTGATGAAGAAAATGGGGCAAAGCAAATAACAATGAGTACACAGCTGAGGTCATTCATCACAAGACAGAGCTACATTACTGTGTTTCCAATGGCTTCCACCCACCACTGACACCAACATGCAGGAAAAGAAGATACACCTGTTTCGGGTTTGTGTTCTATCCTCTTCTTTAAGCAAACAAGAATGGTTGTAGTGTGTATATGCTTCGTTTTACCACAAAGGATTGTTCTGGCAAAATGTACACTTTTTATGAAGGATTATATATAACTCCTTTATACTCCAGGAAACAAAGCGGAACAAACACTAAATAGCATTAAACACACCCACAGTGCTGACTCTCAAGTGCGGTATGAATTTCTCTTGGAAAAATCACAAATAAAAATAGTTCCTAAAAGAGATTTCACCTTAACTGTAATATTATTTCTAAGCAGTTAAGGAGAGGTTTATAAAACAATAGAGTATGGTCACTTGCAATCCTGAACTGCTTTCTGTAATTCTTACAAATTTTACTGAACGTATTTTCCCACAAAAGGCCACTGCTTCTCAATTCTCAATTCTGTCTTTTTTCAGGCAACTGTGCTTTTTGAAATCAGTTCTTCATTTTTGCACTGGATTTTGCTTTTCTAGCTCCTCAGATACGTAAGTCAATCTTTGACTCACAGGAATAAGTGGCATTCAAACTATGGTAGGTTGACCTCAGTAGCTAAAAAAAATAGTTTAAAAACCGAGCTCATTTTTCATGAGGCATAAGCCATGAAAAATATGATGAAAATGGAGTTGACATCCTGCAATTCTAAATTCTTTTACTTGAGAGAAAAACAAGGGATGATTCTCTTCTGACCTCATTATTGCTTCCTTTTACATCAATGTGGAATTCATGAACCTGTTACAGAGATTTGAGCAGAAATGATCTAAAGTACCATTTAGGGGCGCCTGGGTGGCTCAGGCATTAAGCGTCTGCCTTTGGCTCAGGTCATGATCCCAGGGTCCTGGGATTGAGCCCCGCATCGGGCTCCCTGCTTCGCAGGAAGCCTGCTTCTCCCTCTCCCACTCCCCCTGTTTGTGTTCCTTCTCTCGCTGTGTCTTTCTCTGTCAAATAAATAATAAATAAACAAATAAATAAATAATAAATAAAATCTTTTAAAAATAAATAAATAAATAAAGTACCATTTAGTATAGTTTTATCAATATATATGTTACATTGCCCCAAACATGTAATTTCTTCAAAATATTGTTATTTACATACACTATCACTGCCTTTTTTTGTTAGTATAACCATCTACTGGTCTCTAAATTTTTGAATGAATTTTATTATTAGTCAAATAATTTTGTTGGTTCATGAATGGATTGATTCAGCTTTATAAACCTAAATTTACTTGTATTGTGATTACTCCAATATAATGGGTCAAATTCACTTACCTCCTCATCACTTTTAGCTCATTACTTAGGTCCACTGTGATGAATGAGGCAGAAATATTTAGAATACGATGATCTGTACTCAAGGCCTAACTCATTTACTAACTAGCTGGGCAAGGCACTAAACTTTTCTGGTCCTCATTTTGCTCATCTCTAAAGGAAAGTGTTGAGTTAGACAGGTTCTGTGGACCCTCTGAGACTAACATTCTAGGTTACTAACCTGAAAATAGGTCCACAGCCATCTTCACAGTTACCAACACCAGGAGGTACAGTCACCTTAGGCTATGATCAGCTCTAATCTAAAAGATATTGTCCTACTATTGCCAAAGAAGGTTTAATCAAACCCTTGTGCAGCTCTTTAAGCTGTGACCAGTACTAATGTTCTTTGCTGAAAGAGCATTACTAGTTTTCACTAAGATTCATCATCTCATTAGTGACCCAATTTCCAAAGTCACCAAGCAGAGGAAATTTCTCTTACGAAACCTGAGAAGCAAAATCTCTAAAACTGTTACACATTTGCTACTACATTAGGAAAGTTCACAGTACCTAAAATAGCCACCACCTCATCATCCTGGATGACTTCCAAGGATCCTGACACCACAAAGCAGAGGGCATCCACACTTTCTCCAGCATGGTAAATGAGGTCCCCAGGAGCACAGTGAATAGTTTGGAACTCTACCGCCAAGGCGCGCAGACACCCATCGCTGGCCAATCGAAAAGCAGGATGTTCATTAAAAACCTTCCGGTTTAGATGAACACAGATATCAGCTCTCATGTCCTTGGGACAGATGGAGAGAACCTGAAGAGAGTGAGAAATGAATGTGAGAAGAAAAGAGAAAGGGCTATTTCAGGGAAAAAAAAGTCATCCAATAAATATTTATTGACTGTGACAAAGTCTGCAACACACGGTACTAGATACTGGGAATGCAAAGTTAAAAGACACATCTCTGCTCTCAAGGACCTAATAACCCAGTGAGATGGACTAATGAGTATATGGACTATTACAATACAGTACCACAAAGTAAAACTTTGAGAGGGGTATGGATCTCCCCATAGAAAGAACAGAGTCTTAAGGTGGTCAGGAAGGGTCTCAGAAAAAAACTTGATATAATTTCCTCAAAGAGCCAAATAAACTAGGGCATTAACATTCATTTTAGTCTAGTCTCTGTTTTAGAGTTTTTGCACAACTGAAACAAAATCCAGGATAATGGACTTTACTCCACACTGAAGGTGGATTTGTATGAATCAATTATAAGAAAACAAAATCAACAAAAGTACCCACATAGCTTGACATGCTGGCACTGGCTGAGAGAACTCCAGCCTCGATGTGTGTCTTTTGTCACTCTGAAAGATTTTCATTTTACAGATAAATTTATGTCCAGGGAGTGAAAAGGGTATTCACCAGCCTTCTGTAGGGCTCAGACAATTGGAAGTGGCACTGCCAACAAGGTGGGACCATTACCGCATGGCAGCCCTTGCTCGTCCTGGTCTTTGACTCCTAGAGACTGCTGAGGGAAACAGGAGAATTCAAGCTCTAGGCACCCTTCAGAAGACAGCACAAATGGCCTATCTAAGGGTTAGAGAGCTCTTATTGCCTGTAGCTTTCAGACTGGGCAATTAAAGACCCAGATTAAAATGGACACTACCATCACATTTAATCAGAGCATCATCAAGCAAGATGTGATTACAGAAGTCAGTACCACCCACTTTAAAGATACATGTACAAACTCACTTAGAATCCTTGCCCAATCCCTTTGGTAAACTATTCCTAATCAGAAATGTTTTTCTTTGATAGGCTTTCAACCCTCAAACTGAAGCGTAAGCTGATCTTTCTCCATTAAGTTATACTGAATAAATTTTTAATATGCAATAGTTTTCCTTCCTATACTACATACATTTTAATTTTTAAAAATTACCCAAGGCTTGAAATATACTGAGTATTCCTTTTGTTTGGGGCTCACTATCAATGAAAAGTTGGTCGCTTCCCTGTGTAGAAGACGAATCCATCATAAATGTGAAGACCATTAATTAAAGTATACTTTCAGTATCCCTTCCCTTAATCTTTCCTAATACTGTCCCTATTATTTTGTATCACTTAAGCTACCCTGTAGGGGGGCGCCTGGGTGGCTCAGATGGTTAAGCGTCTGCCTTCGGCTCAGGTCATGATCCCAGGGTCCTGGATCGAGTCCCGCATTGGGCTCCCTGCTCCTTGGGAGCCTGCTTCTCCCTCTGCTCTCTCTCTCATGAATAAACAAATAAAATCTTAAAAAAAAAAAAAAGCTACTCTGTAGGTTTTTTATACTCCTTTGAATTCCCATAGGGAGTAGGGATCAACTCACCTATCCTGAAAAATCTCATCTTTGAGGAAATGAATGCCTAACAGAGCTGTAGAAGCAGTTAGCACTTTCCTTCCACGTCCGTTGTTTTCCATAATAATGTAATGTTTTCTTTATTATATTAACTTTTAATGACATTAGTCGTTCCATAGGTCCTTACTGAGCTTCTATGATGGGGCGCGCCACTGCCTTAAACCCGTGGAACTAGAAGGGTAAATAAGACACTGTCTCTGTCATGTAGGAGATAACCATACAGTAGGGGGTTTAGCCTTGCACATGGCCGGGACTAAAGAAATGTTGGCTTTTATTATCCCTATTGAACATGAGTCTTCTTACAAAGTTTACTGTTGCATTAGTTCTCTGCAAAAGCAATTTGCTTTTCTTTGATTTTCCACCCCAGTCTCAATTCTGTATCTTGGCTGTTTGATGAGATTCCAGGCAAAATTAAGAAAATATTTCAGCATTGAACTTGAAGATATTTCAAGCACTAGCTAATGTTAATATTTTCCTCAAGCTGAAAATGAAATTAGTGCTAGAAAAGCCAAAAAGTAAAAATAATTTTAAAATACATGCACACATGCATAAACATTACACTGAATAGCTTAATGGGAAATGGATCATTCTGTTTCTATTCCATTTACCTTACAGGATTTTTAATTTTTTTGATTCATTTTGGTAATAGTCATTTTATGTCCTTTTAATTATTTCTTTCAGGATTCATGCTGCAAATGAAATCTTCTAATGTTGGCAATATTCTCTGTTCAGTGGCATATTGAAAGAGGATTTTTATTACATTTTAAGTGCATCTTTCGCCTTTTTGTTTCACTCCACTTATGGCACTGACTCATTTATTATTTTTATTGATGGTATATACTAAAGTCCAGATGTCATAAAGTGACAAGTTAAAACTAAGTTGAAACAGACCCAAGTCACACCCAGCGGCAAGCTCTTTCCCTACCCCTGGATAGAGCAGGTGCCTTACATGCTCCGTCTGTCATCGAAATATGAATATAGTGTTATTTTTTCTGTAAATAAAAGCACTAATAAGTGTCTTAGGCAAGGCAAAAATTTAGTTTTAAGTGATAAAATTACCATTCAAGATGACTCTAACACCTGCTCCATTAGTCCCAATTTCAATGAACCCTGCTTTAATGTCATATCCAATCTCTTGTGGGTAGGTTCCCTAATGGGTATCTTATAGTTATAAATGAAATTATATTTCAGTAGAAAATATTCATACTAAAAGTAATTATTTATCCCCTCTTCATGTCAGGATAGTTATAAATTAGATTCTTAATTAAGACAATGAATAAGATTTCTCTTTGGAAGAGCTATAAAGCTCTATAGAAGGAATCATTTTTAGAATTCTGCAACCAACATTGAAAAAAGAAAAGAATGCCAGGATCTGAAAAATAAAACTTTTTAAAGTGTACTTATTTATGATGCCAAGGGCACACTCAGTCACTCATTTAACTCAGAGCTAATGACAGCTGGTTATATATGGTTACATGCTGGCTAGTGTGCAGGCCCTCCAGATCCAAGAGCAAAAACTCTCAAACTGCCTGCCTCCCTGGAGCTTCCAATCAGGAACAGCTTGAAAAAATCACTGTTCTTAGTCCAGTGTCTCATTTTACAGATAAGGCAAATGTACTGCATAAAGGTTATGTGATTTGCTCACGGCCTCTCAATAAGTTACTAGCAAAACCCAAAACTCTTTGAGTTCCAGTTGTTAAGCCATGCTCCTCAATGAAGCTCAACCAAGAATAAAATGTTTAACATCTGGCACTTTTTTATGTTTTCTGGTTCTTTGCAGATACAGAAATATAAATGTTGATTTCTGAAAATCATTTAAAGTCCTATTAATCAAAATACAGTTTAATTATTAGGAAATCACTGATGTGACCACCACCACTACCACCACCATAGAACAGCCTAGATTTCTCTGCAGATGTGTTTCCATTTCTAAATACTTTAATTTCAGCTTCAAATAAATGTGTGGCATATTTTAGTGTGTTGGTAAAGACATAGGATGCATATAAGGATAAATTATTTATTTATCCCATTACTATTTGCTAAAAGGAAGTCATCTTATTTGAAATATAAGCTTTAATGTATATAGGAAAAGGATCTGAGCTAGATATTAGCATGGAGTGAACATATTTGATAAATGTCTGTTTCCCCATCACTTTTATCCACTATAATATTAGTAATGCTGCAAAAGTTTAGAAAAGCAAGCCTACATAATTAGAAACCAAAGAGTTAAATCAAGATTCCCTAAGGAAATGGCTGACTAGACAAAGCCCAAAGAATAAGGCTTTATCCTCCCTGTTATTAACTCTGAATACACTAAAAAATGCATTTTAACAAACACTATGTAAAATGTAGGAAATCAAAAACCTATAAAGAGCATAAGTTTTCTCCATTATTTACACATACTTATATATGTACATAACCATTTTCATAAAACCTGAATCTCTAAACCTTTATTTCTTTCTGTGTTTACCCAGTAGCGCATTATAATCATTTCCCATGCCATGAAATACTGATTTAAAAACATAATTTGAGTCATTGCATAATACTCCATCATATAATTATAACACAATTAACTTAACCACTGCATTATAACTGGATATCTGGATTTGTAGTTTTCCCTTTCATAATCAAGGTATAACAAATACTCCGTCCCTCTGTTGGATTGTCTGAGGACAGATTCTTTTAGAAGAAAAATTAGTGGGTAAAATAGAAAAATATTTTCAAGGATCTTGGCAAACTGTTTTCCCAAAAAGTATCAAATTACTCCCTAACCCAGTAGTCTATGAGGATCACCCTCTCCTCAAATTCTTCATTTGCATTTGAAAAAGTAAAGGCAATTTTACCTGAAACAAAAATAGAATTGTACACAGCTTGTATGAAATTGTATATGGAACTGTAATGAGACAGAAGGCTGAGACCTTTAATCTTAGTGGGAGGTAGTCTCCTATCACTCACTATGCCCTAGTTCAGTGACAAAAGACTGATCACTTTTAATCAATCTCTATCAGATTTCTAATATGAAAATCAGGATGACTGTGATAATTCTATTTTAAGTGTCTGAAAGTAGTGAAAAAAACAAGGCTCCCTTTTGATGTCTCTCACTGCTAAAATAAATTATTTTGCTGATTATCTACAAAATCTTATGCCAAGTGTAATATAGCGTCAGATATTTTTAATAATAATTGATAAGGGGGCTCCTGGGTGGCTCAGCCGTTAAGCGTCTGCCTTCGGCTCAGGTCATGATCCCAGGGTCCTGGGATCAAGTCCCACATCGGGCTCCCCGCTCAGCGGGAAGCCTGCTTCTCTCTCTCTCTCTCTCCTTCTGTCTCTCATGAATAAATAAATAAAATCTTTAAAAAAAAAATAAAATAAAATAAAATAAAATAAAATTAGAAATGTATTTTAAAATATATTGACTGAATTATCCAGA